CAATCAGCCCATGCAGGGCGTGCTCGTCTCCCCGATCGTGCGCTTCCGCCATGTCGCCGACGCGACGGCCGACGACATCGCCGCGGAAGCGACTTTAGCCAAAACCCGGGTCTGGGACCTCGCCCGGGGCGAGACCATGGAGATGGCGGTGCTCTCGACCTCCGTGGAGTCGCACACCATCATTCTTTCCTATCACCATATCATCATGGACACCACCGGCTGGCGCTTCTTCATCCAGGACCTGTCCGCCGCCTACCGCATGGAGCCCCTCCAGCACACCAGCAAGACCTATCTGGAGTACACGCGCCGACAGTCCGAGCACCAGCAGACCGGACAGTTCCAGGCGCAGCTGCAGTACTGGAAGAACGAGTACTCGACCGTGCCCTCCGTGTTGCCCTTGCTGCCCATGTCCAAGACCAAGACGCGGCCCAGCACGCAGGACTTCCGCACCACCTACGAGTGGCAGGAGATCGGGCCAGAGGTCGCGCAGGCGCTGAAGGCCGCGTGCCAGAAACTGCGGATCACCGCCTTCCATTTCCACCTGGCGGTGTTCCAGGTCGTGCTGTCGCAGCTGGCGGGCACCGACGACCTCTGCATCGGGGTGGCGGATGCCAACCGGCTGGACGACGACTTCGCCGACACAGTGGGATTCTTCATGAACATGCTGCCGGTGCGGTTCCGCGTGTCCCCGGACGCGCGGTTCGCGCAGATCGCGCAGACGACGGCGCGCAAGGTGCTGGGCGCGGTGCAGAACTCGGCCGTGCCGCTGGACATGATCCTGGACGAGCTGCACGTGGCGCGCTCCTCTGCCCACACCCCCTTGTTCCAGGTCGCCGTCAACTACCGGCTGGGCGTCGTCAAGAAGATCCCCTTCGCCGGCCACTTCCTGACCATGGCCAACGTCCAGGAGGCCAAGAACCCCTACGACCTCAGCTTCGCCATTATCGAGTACGGCGCCGACGGCTTCGTCCTGGAGATGGCCTGCCAGGAGTCCCTGTACGACGCGGCCGCCACCCGCACCATCCTGGACACGTATGTGCGCGTGCTGAAGGCCGTGGTGGCAAACACCTACACTCCCGTCGCCGACGTGCCCATCCACGCTCCCGACGCAGTCCTGGCGGCCCTCGAGCTCGGCCAGGGCCCTCGAGTGGACTTCCACTGGCCTGAGACGCTGTCGGAGAAGGTCCAGCTTGCGCAGGAAGCCCATCGGGAGCAGATCGCCATCCGTGACGGGAGTCAGGCGCTCACATATGCTCAGCTCGCGGAGCGGGTAAACGCGATCGCTGCGGCTCTGCAGGCTGCAGGTCAAACGGCTGACTCCCGGGTCGCTGTCGTGTGTCAGCCCTCGGTCGACTTCACGGCCTCGATGCTCGCCATTCTCCATATCGGCGCGGTCTACATCCCGCTGGACGTCAGTCTGCCACCGGCACGGCATGCGGCCATCGTCGCCAGTGCGCGGCCTAGCGTGGTGCTCTGCCATGAGGCCACTCTCGAGCGCGCTGGCCAGCTCGGCGCCGGAGAGAAGAATCTCGCCTTGCAGGTCATCAATGTGGATGAGATCGAGGCTACTGTCAAGGAGACGATCCCTTGCACTGCACAGCCGCAATCGCCCGCCGTGCTCCTGTACACGAGCGGCTCAACCGGCAAGCCGAAGGGGGTGGTACTCTCGCAGAGCAACTTTGTCAACCACATTGCGCTGAAGATCGAGGCGCTGGATCTGCGGCCGGGACGCGAGGCCGTGCTGCAGCAGAGCTCGCTGGGTTTCGACATGTCGCTGATCCAGACCTTTTGCGCCCTCTGCACGGGGGGCACGTTGGTGATCGTGCCGTACGAGTCGCGGCGCGATGCGCTCCACATCACCCGGCTGATGCACCAGCACCAAGTCACCATGACCATCGCCACGCCCTCCGAGTATCTGACCTGGCTGCACTACGGGCGGGACTCGCTGGGCGAGTGCGCTGGCTGGCGGTGGGCGTGCATGGGCGGCGAAGCGGTCCATCGCTCCCTGCTGCACGAATTCCAGCGGCTGGGCCTCGCATCCCTCTCGTATCTGAACTGCTACGGTCCGACGGAGATCACCGCGGCGGCCACCTTCCACCGCATCTCGCTGGAGACTGGGGAGGAGGATGAGCCTGAATCCCAGAGTACGGTCGGCAAAGCTCTGCCCAACTACGCCCTGCGGATCGTCGACGCGGCGGGCCGGCCTCAGCCGATCGGGTTCCGCGGGGAGATCTGCATCGGTGGCGCCGGGCTGGCGATGGGCTACTGGGCGTCGCCGGAAGAGACCGCGAAGCGGTTTGTCACGGACAGAGCATCACCATCGACTAGGTGGTATTGCACGGGCGACCAGGGTCGATTGTCGGCGGATGGTACGCTGGTTTTCCAGGGTCGGCTGGAAGGGAGCACGCAGGTCAAGTTGCGCGGGCTTCGGATCGAGCTGGAGGAGGTGGAAGGAGCTCTGCTGCAAGCAGGGGCGTCGCTGTTCTCGACGGTCGTGGTCACCGTGCGAGACGACGTCCTGGTGGCCCATGCGGCGACGGTCGGTGACCGGACAGGTGAGATTGAGCCGGCGGTTATCGCGGACTTGTTGGCGAACCTGCCTCTGCCGCAGTACATGTGTCCGGCCCAGGTGATCATTGTCGACGAGTTGCCCCGTACCAGCAATGGCAAGATTGACCGCAACGCCCTGGCCACCGCGCCGCTTCCTTCGACGTCTCGTTCTGGTGGTGATGCCAGTCAGCACGGTACCGCACCTAAGCTGAGCCTTCGTCAGGGCGAGCTCCGCATCCTTTGGGAGAAGATCTTGCCGCCGACCAGGCACGCGCTGACGGCCGAGTCGGACTTCTTCCTCGAGGGCGGCAACTCCCTGCGGCTGATCAAGCTGCAGCACGCCATCAAAGAAGCGATGGCGGTCTCCATCTCCACCCGCGAGCTGTACGAGGCCTCGACGCTGCGCCAGATGACCGCGCGGATCGACTTCCAGCGCGAGCACCAGGTCATCGAGAACGAGGCCATCGACTGGGAGGCCGAGACAGCCGTTCCCAAGTCTCTGGTGACCGCGGCGCGGAACGCCAGCAAGTACTCTGTCGTCCGCAGGAACGACGATCAAGCCATCGAGGTGCTCCTGACCGGAGCCACGGGCTTCCTGGGTGGGTGCATCCTGAACGAGCTCCTGCAGGACCCTCAGGTCCACAAAGTGCACTGCGTGGCTGTTCTACCCGACGAGCAGAGCCACCTCCCGGCCCACGATAAGATCGTCGCCTACACGGGGAGCCTTTCGTCTTCGACGCTGGGGCTCAACCCGTCCGAGTCGCTCGCGCTGCAGGAGGCCATCGACGTGGTCATCCACGCCGGCGCCAACGGCCACTGCCTCAACAACTACTCCTCCGTGCGCCAGGCTAACGTACATTCCACTCAGTTCCTGGCGTCCCTCTGCGCCCCGTCCGCCGTTCCCCTGCTCTACATCTCCTCCAACCGAGTGCCCTTGCTCGCAGCCAACAACACCGCCCCGGTACCGGGTCCCGTGGCCGCCGAGCCGCCCACCAACGGCACTGAAGGCTACACGGCCTCCAAATGGGCCAGCGAGAAGTTCCTGCAGCGGGCCTCGGCACTGACGGCGATGCCCGTGGAGATCCACCGCCCGTGCGTGGTGATCGGTGACCAGGCGCCGACCTCGGACGCGCTGAACGCGATTCTGCGCTACTCGCTGCAGATGAAGGCCATTCCGCGCTTCGCTAACGTGGAGGGGTACTTTGATTTCAAGCGGGTCGAGGAGGTGGCGCGCGAGTTGACGACCGCCGCTGTTGAGATGAGTCGCCATCGTGGCGCAAGGCCGCAAGAAGAAGGGTCTCAGCAGCAGCAGCAGGTGCAGGTGCGCTTCCGGCATCATTCGAGCGGCAACAAGGTCGCGTTCCCGGCCATGGTGGAGCATATGCGCACGTTGTATGGGGAAGAGTTTGCGGAGGTGGAGTTCATGGAGTGGATTGCGCGGGCCCTCGAGGAGGGGATGGATCCCTTGATCTCCATCTACCTGGAGAGTTTGGTGGAGAAGGGCGAGACGCTCCGGTTTCCGTATATGGGCGAGACGCTGGCTGTTTAGATGAGGTGTTTTGCTTCTTTTGTCTTTGATTTTGATTTTCCTTGCTGGTGTTGGTATCGTGTCAGTTGGGCGTTTGGATATCTGGATGATTGTCTTGTACTTTGAATAGCGAGGCGTTTTGTGGATCTGGCTCTGTCTCCTCACCTCTTGCTATATATTCAGACCTTTGATAGTGTAATTTGACACATGAGTATCGAACTTCGTCGAAGAACTCTTCCCAAAAGATGTAAAAGCTACACGTAGAGAAGAAGACTCAAGGAAACAAGTTCTTGGTTCAAGGATACCAGGATGCATGGAGGTGAAATGAAGTGAAGCTGAAGCTGAAGCCGAAGCCGAAGCCTTCGGTGGCAGGTCACGTGACCGGAGCACGTCCTGTCTCCAGCAAGCAGGGTCTGGATGGTTCACGGTCGCATTTTCATATCTCAACACAGGATGGCTTCCCAAGACATCCATTCCAACTATGAGACCTCTCTTCACACGCGGATTCACTCGCAGCCGTTGATTTCCAACGTCTTTAAAACTTTCGCGTCGTATCACGTGATGGCTACCATGTGCTTGGAAGATGCCCGAGGCACTCGTCTACGCTCCAGCTTAAATGTGAAGCTCTCTGGAATTTGAACCGCTTTCTCTCCCCCATCTCAGTCTTTCTATCCAACGGTCATCATGTGTGCTGGTACATCAGCCCAGTTTCATCAAAACACCTCCCGGAATGATCACACTGTTTGTCTAAGAATTGATTATGGATTTTGGTTGGTAGGAAAACAAACACGAAAGGCAAGAATTGTCAAGCATCTCTAAAGCGCCGCCCGGCTGAGCTCTAACCAGCAAACACAAATATGCTCCACCCATTAGCCTGATGCTTCTTTCCTCAAGAATAACTCGGGACTTTGTGTCTCGTTTTCTATGGTATCTATTTCGAAGAAGACAACATCCCTTCGCACCTTGTTCTTTACCTCCCGCTCCCCAAGGGACTCAACCCCAACCCTCTCTTTCCCTAACAGCCCCTCAAGCCGGAGACAAATACCCCCACAGGTCAGCCAACTGCTCTAAGGAGTCCTTGACGCTAGCCTGGAACCGCGTGGCCCGGAGCACAGGCCGGTACTGCACGTCGGCGAGGTCGATGAACAGCCGCAGGACCTCGCGGGGGCGCCGCAACTCGACCAGCTGGCCGTCGCGGTCGGCGAGGACGGGCTCGCCCTCCTTGTACTTGATGAAGTTCAGCAGGGCAGGGTGGTCGGCGGGGACGTCGTTCAGGACGACGGACCGCAGCTGCGGGGGCACGGTGGCGCCGCGGTCGCTGACAGAAGCAGAAGCGGAGCTGCTCATCATGGAGATGATGCTGCTGGAGCTGGTGCCGCTGGAGCTGCTGGTGGCCGACGAAGAGGCCAGGCTGGCGGCCTCGACGGGGCCCAGCATGAGCGCCGGCAGCCAGTCGTGCGGGTGGCGCTTCATCGACAGGAACATGGTGATCAGCGCAACGCGGTACACCACGGCGGACCACCAGAGCGGCTGGTCCGCGGGGGGCATCAGGCGCACCAGGCGCAGGATCTGGCCGCAGTGGACGAGCGCCTCCTCCTCGCTGTCGTGGGCGATGGTCGCCGGACAGGCGCCCAGCGGACACGGGCCGGATCCCCGCGGGTTGGGGGCCTCGGGGCGCGCGGGGGGCCCGCGCAGCAGCGCGGCCTCGATGCTGGGGAAGCTCGCCATCGCGTTCAGCGCGATCAGGTGGTACATGACCAGCATGGCTAGGCCGGCCGGCGAGTTGGTGTTGGCCGAGTGCACGGCCAGGTTGAACCATTCGGGCAGCAGGGCCTGCACCTGGTCGAGCTGGGCGTGGATGGCCGGGTTGGACAGGCCCTGGGTGCTTTTGCGCCAGCGCACCGGGCAGTTGGGGAAGGACTGCAGCCACTGGCGCAGGTGGCAGACCATCCCGTGTAGGGGGACGAGCAGCAGACGCAGATATTGCAGGGGCAGCCGCGTGCCTCGTCCGGGGCGCAGCTCGCCGTTCATGAAGCAGGTATACAGGTCGCGCAGGCAGATCGGGGGTTGGGTGGCGAAGGCCTCGGGCGCGAGACGTGCCCAGTCACTCTCGGAGCCCGCCTTCCACAGTCGGTCGTCGGCGGGTAGTGACTCGGTCAGCGTGTCCACGGAGAAGCTGAGTGGAGTGTCGTAGAACAGGCTCCATTCTTGATCTGCTATCACCCACGCGTACGTGAGTCTGTCCGATGAAGTCAGTGGACAGTCTATGATGGCAAGCAGAAAGCTGCTGTCACTCACCGCGAGTTCATCTCCTCCTCCTTCCATTGCGCCCATTGTTGGTTGAGCCCTAGACTGCTGCTAAGAAGGCTAGGAGTGTCGCCGTTGTCAAGGGAAGGAGGCTTTCGGTGTAGTAACTATATTACTGCCGGTCAGTATTCCCATTCGACATGGGGTCATAGCCCAAGATCAGAAAGACTTGCCTGAGTGTACATCTGCCGGTGAGCGCAAGAGGTCTGTGGCCAGTGGAAAGGCAGGTTAGCAGATGAGATGGCGACATGAAAAGGCAAAATCATGCGACATATCGTCGGACTCACCCGCATGAGCCATCGCTCACCAGACCACATCCCCAGATAAAGCAGCAAAAGAGCGCAATGAGACACGATATCCGGTCTCGTGCTGGCCATGTCTCCTTCCATCATATCGGACAGTGCAGTGCGACACGTCTCCGTCAACCCGGTCGCGAAAATATGCAATTCTGGGGCTGGAGAGGCCGTAGCCCCGATCGCAATCATCAGCAGAAGCATGATGCCGGCGGCCTTGACGTCGTGCGGAAGATCATTCATGAGCGTGTTTGGGTCTTGCACCTCCCCGCTCGACAGGCCAAAGTACTGCTCGAAGCAGGAGACCTGGGCTCGTAAGAGGTCATCCAGCGCCTTGGCTGGAGGTAGGGTCACGATGGTGAGGTTGAGTGGACTGAGTCTCCGGCCGTGGCTGCTGTGTTCCCGCGAGTGGACGTTGCGGGTCTGCATCAGTAGTAGTTGGGTCACCACCAGGAGGTTGTCGCGGGTGGTGTCCGTGATAGGGTCTACGGCCGGTGGTGTGGCGATCGAGGAGGCACTGGACTCGGTGCTGCCGGTATTCCACGGCTCTCGCGAATTGAGCGTCTGCTCGAATTGCTGCAGGCTGAGGCGCATCTGGCTGCTCCAATCTTCCCCCCAATGCCGTGGCTGCCCTGGACATAGAGAGACAAGGGGGCTGTTGCGCCCGCAACTCGAGGATTTGCGCGGAGAGTGACTCAGCGGAGGGACGGTCATGGGCTCCAGGTATGATTCCCACAGGACATCGCTTGTGGAATAGCTGATGAGCTCGCTGATGAGGTCGAGGTCGGGTGTGGACTGATGCGGGGCGTCCTCATCCAGGACCATGGCCAAGGGCATATGTAACGATGACTCTGGAGTAATCTGCTGTAGCCACTCGGTGGACAAGTGCGTCGTCTCCTCGGTGCTGGGGTAAGGGACACTGGCTGCTTGAAGGCGTAACAAGCCGTCCGGACTGCCGGTCTCCATGTCGGACCCTACTATTGCTGTGCTATCAGGCCCTACTAGGTTCTGTTTCGTTGTTTCCAGGGCAGTCTGCTGCTCTTCTCCCCGTGGGACGTCGTCGGGCCGTAGCCTTCGTAATTGGAGTTCGGCCGGGCGTTGCATGGCTCGCCGAGCAGAGCGCGGTTGGCAGACCAGCTGCTTACTGACGCATCGTGTGCAAGGCACCTGTGATACTCATCCTCTTGGTCAACCAATGATGCAAAGAAGCTACGCAGGGACTTCACAGCGCGCCTACCTTGCGATCGCATCGCGCCTTGGCCTTGGAGCAATGCGAACAAGCGATGTACCTGGTCTCGGCGGTCTTCATACTGATGGTGTTCGTAAATCCAAGCTTCTGTGCTCCATCGAGAGGTGGAGCTGGGCCGCCGGAGAGAAGATATAGGCCAGAGATGCGGAGAGAGATAGCCACGGAAGTATCCCTGTTCTATAGATTCCCCTAGAGTCTGCCTCGATTGAATCCAAGCGATCCTCCAAGTTGATCCTTCGAAGCCGTCAGCATTTCCCAGCTTCTCTGCTGTGGTTGCGGCTACCGCCATTGGATCGACAGGGTGAGAAGTGTATCAATCTGGTAATCTTCAGCCTGGCCATGTATCGCCACATTGCAGTTTAGGTTTGAGTTGGTCTGGAGGTGCTTCTCGACGTTCTCGGCGCAGTTTCGGCGATCCTGAATCATGGCAATCACATCACACATACTTCTCCCAGAGACAACGGAGAGAGACAGGGACACAACGATGTTGGGGTTACAAATTTCGCCCCCATGATCCTTCCGCCTAGCCTCGACCAGCATCAACATCCATACGAGCGTTATGGAGGCCTTGTTTGACCCCGCGACTGTTAGTGGGGGCGGTGGCGCCGAAGACCCTATCTCACTTCGCGTGGTTGAAGAAGCACGGAAAAAGAAATAGAAAAAAAAAAGGATCAAAGGCATTTGTCATCTGAGCCTACCTGAAAACTTACTAGTCACCGATATACTAAGATAAATTCGAGGAGTCTGATACAGAGAGTGGTCGAGTAGTCTCCTCCTGCAGGATCTAGCCAGAAAGCACGTCAGCCCACGTTGTTTGTTGATTCTAGCGTGAGGCTTCCCACGCGGCGGAAGATGCGCCAAGATGGAGCTATTTCATCTAGGGTTACATTTACAGTACCTTGTAGTTAAGTTACTGTACATTGGTCCTTTTTCCACTTGGGATGGGGACCGTGCACCACTGCTTCGCCAACAGGCCGTCCATTAGTAATGCCTCTCTTATACTAGATGCCCCAAAGAATTCCCAGAGTAGAGTCGTAGATTCTTATTCCAACTGAACTGAAATCATCACTGACAACCAATTGACTATCTCATGGCCAATTTGCTACCACGACGGCTCAGCTAGTCTTGTTTGCTCCGGAACGTTAGACTGGGTTGAGTATTTACTTGATTGGGGAGCGCGTAAGCACTGAGTCTTATACTAGGTTATTACCTGGGCCGGACTTTCTGCCCCCTGCCCTCATTCGCTACATTGTCCGCTCCATTTCTGCAAGCCGATTCTTCTGCCTGCACCTAAATCCTTCGTTCTTTTGATCGGTCTTTGATCTAGTTTAGCACGTGATTTGTATACAGGAGTAGTAAGTTCTCTTGTACTTTAATGAGGCCGTCGGACAGGATTGGAAGGATGACCGGACTTCCCCCCCCGTCCAGCCACGCCTACTTGCACGGACAGTCTGGGTTAATATCGAGATAGAGACAGGTTTCCCACCAACACAAGTGCTTAAATGGAATTCAAGAGGGGTAAAAGTCTATTGATAGTGCTTGTTCACGGAGAGATGCTTGAGCCAATGTCTTTTCTGCGCAACACACTCTCCCGCCCTAGGCCTGTCGAAAGTGCGGACACGTCTTGAGGATGATTCCTTCAGAGTTATACGCAGTCAAATCCGGAGACCTGTAGCTAGTATACTTGGATCTCACACTGACTCATGTTTTTCAATGGTATAAGCTGGCGAATCCCTGCAGAGCGTTCAGTCGCAGTTCTCACTATACACCTTGCTCATATCTCAGAATCGTCGAGACCTAGGCCTTACCTGGACGATCGATACAGCCTGAATGTATCTCCCAAGCGAGAGAGCCCGCTCCAAATCCCGATCCACAAAGGATGACATACCTAGAAATGAGGATCACTAGCTAGGTGTAACTTACTAGCCATTCCTCATCAATTGGGAAAGTCTCAGAATACCCGTGGTGTCCCCCCTCATCCCACAAGCCGAGTCAATCCAGCCGAAGCCATGTCCACAGCTACGGTGCATCGATACGGTGTTTCGCTCTATGCTGAGGTTCAGGATAATCGAAGGATGAAGCTAGCGGTACAGCCTGACCACTCACCAGCAGATATGGCGTAGTTATTTCTTTTACTTGCTCTTTCTGCAGCTCTATTCACCCCTCAATCTACTGCTTGATCGTCATATCACCACGTGGTTTGGGGGCACGGCATCTGGCCCGTCGATGTCGATGATCGGTACCGTACGGAGTAATTATTAGGTAGCTGGAGTACGTTACACGTACTGAGTCTCAATTCCAAGATTTTGCATCATGCCACATTCCGCAGAGGCTCTTAGGCCGGGAGATGCAGTCAGCAAGCTAGAATTCTTCAGATATGCATATACGAGCGCGTAGTTGAGGTATCGACTCCTTGCTTGAACGTCACGGCCACTAGTTAGGCTGGAGGTATACGATCCGTAATCTTTCAATCTTTCCGTCCACCCGAAAGTGCGGATTGGGAGAGGCAGTGCCGACTCCCCGCTCGGACCTCATTTGACGGGACTGTTTTTCCAAGTCCTCCCGCTGTATTGTATTGTAACGGGCTATCAGATCCATCATTCAAGCTAAGGAGTGAGTACAGGGTAGGTAGGAAGGTAGCTTCAGCAGTCACGACAGCCAATTGCTCAGGATGCAAGCACTAGCTATCGGTGGCTAACTTAGTGTCTCTGCTTGGTAATATCTCTGTCAGGCTGCATTACTAACTGGATTATACCTAGTTAGCCCATGAGGGCTTCCCTACTAATGATCTCCGGAGGATCACCTCGCGTAGACTAGGGCTGATCGGGTCTAGATAACCTTGGGGGGCGGAGCATTTCCCAGCAGGGTCCGCAGTACTAATACTAAAACAAAAGCCTGCCATTTGTCCAGATGAAACCACGCGGTCACGCGATTAGTGGGATTTCTTTTTCTATCTCATTTCCATGCACTGGCTTAGCGTAGCCTTACCCCTCTTCACCCCCGGGGAAGAGAAAACGAGAAAAAAAAGTGCCGTGGTCTCACCTATGCAGGACGCATGCATGGCCCTCCTTCGGTTTGCTTAACGAATTGCACGTACTGTACATACGCAAAATCAGCAACTGATTCTTCCCCGTGGTTTCAAATCCGACCCCTTGTTGTGGATATATCCCAATTCATTGGTGACTAACAATAGCTTGATCCATTCCCGCCAACCAGAAAGGAAAGAGTCTCAGTAAGGGATGCAGAATTCCGTAAGGCCAACCATCCACGCGTGTGTGTCACCCAATTGCTGACCAACAGCAGGGCAGAGCGACTGATCCCCGGGGGATGCCAAACTGTTTCACGGATCTTATCGAGTCTTCACGCAATTGTTGTGTCCTGTGTAGCTCCAGGAGGGAGCCATGTGCATCAGGCCACAGCCCATGCTTCACTCAATAGTCAAGGGGACTGATTGCTCGGTCGTAGGTTTGTCAGCATAGGTGCTGTCTGCCTCCACTCGAGAGCTGGCATCAGGACTAAGATGTCTTGGAATGTAACCCAAGGCTAGCGGGCGGTCACCCCCAAGCTCTGGATTGCGTGCCAATTCTCTCGGCAACGAAGCCCTAAACCCATGAGGATGGAGGGGGTGGGTGCTGAGTTGGATTCGGTCCGTCTCCGATGGAGGATCCTTTTCTCTTTTTTTGCTTTTTCTGCTGTGACTTGGTCATCCGTTCTCCCGTTGAACATAGCCCATCCGCAGATTATCAGAGTACGTGTAAGCACGCCGCGCAGTCACAGTTTTACATTCCACGGCCTCGTCGTCGCATTGCAGGCTGTAGCTTAGCAGCATTCAGTCGATCTATCAGTGGCCCGCTCAATTGCCACGAGGCAAATTGGTTCGTCGCTTCCCAAAAGCAAAGCCCACGTGGAATTCGCCGGATGTACCCCAGCGGAGGCGAGAGCAGATTCGATTTTCGAACGCACGAGCCCTCACCTGCACCCCTTGTTTCACTCTCATGGCCAAGGCACGCAAGGCTGCTTTCTTCAAACCAAGCAACGTTCCAAGCACCTCGGCAAACGTCCATCTCCTGAAGCACAGTTATCCCCAAGAGCCTTCGCCAAGTGCGGCTGAAGCGTAAGGACTGGTGGTCAACTCAGTCCAACGTACCGTACTTTTTCTGCCACAAGACTGACTGGTCTGCTGCAGGAGAGGCAGGATTTTGGGACGCTGAGCCGGATCAGTCATCCTGCAGGGAAAGAACGGAGTCCGTTCTAGAGGCAAGGACTTACCTTGCTTAGCATAGGGCTCAGCGCTTACGTGCTCGGCAAATCCCTCAAGAAATGAGAGTTATCAATTCGGGTTCGCTGTGCCATCCGCATCTAGTTAAACGCTGTTGGGATTGACTGCGGGATTTCGCTCGTGCAGTATGCTTCCGGCGTGGAGGTCGCTCTCTATACTCCGTGGACCCTGACGCAGAAGGTGGCTGGTTTCGTCCTGTCTCAAATATCTCCATTCGTCCGTGCATCAGGTCTTGGAAGGTGGAAATGAGAACTTCTGAGACGAGGATTTGCTATCCACAGTTCTACATAGGGGAATGAACCACAAGCCCACGTCGCCCGACAGCGTTTCCTTGTTTTCGCAAGTCAACCAAACGAACCAACCTTGGTGGTTACACCGTGTAACCCATGGATAACTTCGGGACCTGATTCGCTGTTCAACGGCGTGCTCGATGCAGCAATGGTACTAGGTAAGGTACCTAGTAGTTTTAGCGGGTGAGGTTCGTTGCTATTGCCTGTTTCCACGTGGTACGTGGTATACACTAACTAGTAGCTTTCCTACAACCCACATGGCAGCTACAACTCCTACTGAAGAAAGGGGTGGATCTACTCCACTCAACCATCGCATCGGCTGACCTTACACATTTCAAATCTATGCTGAGTTCTTTTCGCATTGGTGTCTCACTCTATTCAGCATGCTCGCTCCGTGTAGAGGCCGTCAAGTCAATGGACCCAGACAAGTTCACGCGATCTCTCCCTTCTGACTCTGTTTCATGAAAATGCGTTCCGTCACACAGCAGGGTCGTGTGAGGTTCATCCTGGCCTTGCTTCAGGCCGGAGCCGGCTCGTGACGTTTGCCAATTGATCCCAGCCGTTCGATTTACACCGGAGCTACAGAGCACACCTCCCACAAGGCTCAGGTTCCACCTTATGGTGCTCAACGACCCTGGACCGACTCAGGATCTGGCTTGAGTGCGGAACATCGTTAGACGGGTTCAACTCGAAGAAGCTCGTCGGTTTGAGCGAGACCACCATCTTCTCGACTGGCATGACCGGAAAGTCTGAGCCAATGTTAGCAATCCCCAGGTGTCCCCCAGATAAACAAACGGCAGCACACATACCTTCCGGACGGGTGATGTGCGTGGTGCCAAATGTGTGCCACAGCACGATATCCGCGTTCTCCACGGACTGCTGGCGTTGACTCCACACCCCTAGCCCCGTGTCGTCCGTGCTCTGGTTGGTGAACTCCCCGGCCGCGTAGAGCTCTTCGTCGCGGTAGTCCGTGACCCAGATCGGCTTGGTGGTGAACCGTCCCCGGCGGGAGTTGAAGGTCTCCGGCCCCATGATGAGCATCTGGCTCGGGGACGCGTGCAGCCGGTACCCCACTGGTTCTCCGGAGATGGCGTTCGTCCGGTTGGGGTTGATGATGCGGTACGTTCGGTAGGCGGCGAGATTGAGCTCGTAGCCTCCGGGTTGCGTGATGG